CACGGGCAGCATCTGAGCTGCAGCACCCGTAACCTCAACCAGCGGAAAACAGAGCAAAACCAGAGAGCCCAAATGTACCCGGTTTCACCCCAAAACTGCACTGGGACTGCGTTCAACCGAGAAAACCCCGCTTTGTCAAACAGTAAAGGAGCAGGAGACTCCCGGCTGCTCAGCTGGCAATTACTAACCAGGCAAATTGCAGGGCTGGGACATGAGCTGGGAATCATAAAAGCAGAAATAACAAGGTGGGTCCCGAGAGAGATCAAAGCGGCGCGTTGCAGAAGACGGGCGGCACCCCCGCTTCTGTCAGAGCTGCAATTGCAGAGAGCAAAGAGCCCCGGGCACTCGCTTGCAATAAATGATGCTGCTAACACATAGCTCACAGGCAGCCCCTTCTCCTGGGAATCTGCGGCCCTCCGTAAGTGATATTAATAACAGCAATAATTCTTCTTATTATGGTGATGCCATTAAATGGTTTTGCCTGATGCAGCACTGGCACCTCCGTTGGGTGTCACCTCTCCCGCCGTCCCCTGCCATCCCGCTCGGCACGGGATGCTGCTGGGAAGTCAAGCGAGCGTCTTTCCCCACCGCAGGGGAAAGCTCTTCCCAGCCCTGCCTCAGAGCCAGGTCTCCCATGAAATGAATATTAGGGATAATTTTGGAGGTAGCCGGGAGGAGCATCCGCTTGGACGGCAGGCGGGAAGCAGCGCAGCCCCCCCGGGGGGATGAGGAGCTGCTCCAAGGGATACGGGGGGGGGGTGTGGGATTTACCCCAAGCAGGGGCAGGGTTGGCCCCCAGGGGTGAGGGAGGTCCCTTGGCATCTCAGCAGCCCAAGCGAGGCCAGCACGGAGCCGGACAGCCCCATCCCATGGGAATAAAGACCCACTGGACACCTCTTTCCCCCTGTTTCTTCCCACGGTGGAGGAAACCCAGCACCGAGCATCCTTTGCCCGTGCTGGGAGCAAAGAAGGACACCAAAATGGGGTGAATTTAGAGGGGAAAGGGTCGTGTTGAATACACCTGCGATGGGGCCGAGGATGGGGAACCCCCCCTTGAAGTGGCTTCGGGCGGTTGAGGAGCGTTTGCAGGGCAGAGCATCTCCCCCAGCCCATTCCCCCACCCCGACAGCATCGCTTGGGGCCGGAATATTCATTCCTAGTGAGAAAAAGGATGAGGAAAAATGGGTTTGAAGCCTCAGTGCCTCACGGAAAGGGAAAGGTTTCTCCAAACGCCTGCGGATTTGGCAGGAGGATGGAGAGGATTTTCCTCCATGCAAAGGTCCCCTCGTATCTCCTAAGCTGCAGGGGTGGAAAGGAGGCTGTTAAACTCTCCGGCTCTTACATGAAGCAGTCAGAAAAGGAGCATTTTGGGGAAGAAAACAGGCAAAATGGATGGGAGACCATCTCTCCCTTCAGCAAAATTAGAGCCCAGGCTTGGCGGAGGATTGAGCATGGATTTGGGAGCCGCTGCCGGACCAGGGGGGTTAAAGCAATCGGGATCGGGGGGATTTGGGACCCGACAGCGTCCCGGTGCAGAGGGAAAGGGGCTTTGCTGCAGCATCGCCCCCTCCCCAAATTGCTGGGGTCACTCCCAGGATAAGCCAGGGGGAAAGGCAGATGCAGGGCGATGGAGGTGGAGGGTGCTGCATCCCGTGGGATGTCCCTGCATCCGTCCATCCGTCCGTCCGTCCATCCATCCATCCCATGCCGACCATCCCGCAACCCTTGGGGTGCGCCGGGCGGGGACAGTAAATGCAGAGCACCCTCTAAAGGGCAAAGACGTGCCGGGAAGCCGAACCAGCCACCCCAGCTCCCGAAAAATGAGTCCATCCCTCCCCACCATCCCATCTCGCCTCGGTTTCCCCCGCCTGGGGATTCGCCGGCGCCCAGGGGACACCCAGCGCCTCATCCCGGGGTGTTTTCCCAAAAAAAAAAAAAAAAACAGGCAACAGCCTCCCCAAAATGTGCTGGGTCTGGGGATGCTTCACCCCCCGAGGAGTCGCGGGGGGAGGCAGGGGCCTTGGCGGGGCTGGGGGCCAGGAGGGTTTTGGGGGCTCCCAGGGGGGAAGGCAGCACCCGGGAAGGGCGCAGGGGTGTGCGTGTGAAAATATGAAGAGGTAAGCTTTGGGTGGATCCTGCTCCCGACGCTAATTACAGGCCTTAAACGCGCCGGCAAGCCCGGTCTTGCTGCTGCACCCCTGCCCCGAACCACGCCTGGGCGCCGGCGGCGGAGGGGGGACGACTAAACCGCGCGGCCAGCCCCGGTCTTGCTGCTGCCCCCCTGCCCCGAACCACGCCTGGGCGCCGGCGGGGGAGGGGGGACAAGCCCCCAGCCACGGGGCAGGGACCCCGCGCGACGCCCCGTGCCCACGCGGGAGCGAGGACGGGCGCACGCCTGCGTTTTGGGTGACCCCTCCGTGGGTGCTGCTC